GCACGTGACTCTTAGGGCTTGGCTGCACTACTCACGACATGTGCAAAATTAGAATGAATCTTCTGCAGAACGTGGAATAATACGCCACCCTATGTTATGCCTTTTGTGCATTTGGTGAGTAGAGGCCCTTTGGGCCACTGCACGTATTCCTAAGAAAAGAAAAACGAGAAAAGAAAAGAAAAGCGAGAAAACAGAGAAATAGTGATCCATAACCGACATGCACAGACCTGACTTCTCTGCTCACCCTCAGGGAGTACAAGTTTGGAGTGTATCTCTGCATGACGTCGGGTCCTAGCTAATATGCTGTAGGGATCCTTCCGAAAAGAGGCTGGACACAACTAGGACATTATTGATTTTCTACTTTTTTAATGCGCCGCATCACTTGTGCGTGCGTGCATGCTCGTGCAGCACCCGCGCTCATGAGATGCACATCTCTCTCTCTCTCTCTCTCACACACACACACACACACACACACACACACACACACACACACACACACACACACACACACACACACACACAGGGGGTCCGAAATCCCCTGACAGGTGAGTGCGCTGGGGGGGCCCGGCCGCCAACCGGGTGCCCTGCCCGTCCAGGCTGCCCGGGACCTCCGCCGGGCCCCTGCCGGTCACCCGGCCGGCCCAGATCCCCACTCAGGTTCTTTTTCTTTTGCTCTGTTTTTTTTTTTGTGTCTGTGTGTGCTTCCTGGTGCATTGGTACAGTGTCCGCGGTGCGCCTGATGTGTGCACACCGTGCACAATAAGTATTGTTCTAGCTTTGATCACTTGTGGTACAGGAACCCAAATTCGGGGTTCCCAGGCCCTTCAATAGGTTGTGAGTCATGACACTGAAGGCACGCTGGGAAGACTTGTGATTGATAGGAACGTGACTGGTGGTAACTGCTCGTGTCCTCAAGCATGCGCTACATATTGGATCAAAAAATTCAACTGAGTGAACCCCTTCTGAAAGGATGGTTTGGCAGAGCAAACACTTTCCCTTATTGATTACATGCTTCAGTTTGATGAGGACAAACAAAACTCAGAACGACACAGTACTTCAGGACTGGACTCTTAGAACATGAGGTGCTGTTTCCATTGCTATGGACTTTTGGGAACGCAAAGTACCTAGCTCAGGTGGGTGGAAAATAGCCAACCCAGATCAGGCTTTGCTGTCCCCCCCTCCTCTTGCTTAACAGTGAAGGAAAGGACGCCAGATTTAGTTCTGCTGGTTCCGTTACTGTGAGAAAATGGGGCCTCAGCAAACCCCAGCCCTGCAAGTGGTATTAGTATGCTAATCTAAACTGTCAGTCCATCTGAGAGGCGCATTTTTCTATGAACAGTAACTTTCAGGGAGCCAAATAGGCATCGTATTGTATGAATATCAGCCTTCTGGGAGCCATACAGGAACGGCAGGGGAGGTTTGGGTGAGCTGGGAACCCCATGGGCATTCACCGCCCCTGATGTGTTTTCACAAGGCATGTTTTGGCCGTTCTTCGGTGTTGTGTACTGGTTGGGGAGCCAAACAGGCATGGTATTCTATGAATACGACATTGCACAGTAGTCTTGCGGGAGCCAAACAGGCATGGTAGGGGCTTCGAAACGGGTTTGGTTGAGCTGGGAACCCCATGGGGATTTGCCAGCCCTGATGTGTTTTCACAAGGCTAGTGTTGTCCGTTCTTTGGTCTTTTGTACTGGTTGCAATTTCCTTGTCATTTTGCCACCTGAGAGGCCCAGGCCTGACATCGATGTAATTCAGTAATAAGATACTAATAACCTATCGGTACACCCCTGAACTGTTGAAATACAGACCTGAAGATGAAGGAGATGAGCAATTTGAATTACCTAGGGCCGGCCAGTTCAAATGAAGTTATCGCAAGGCCGTTGGCCTTTTAGTAGTATCCTATTAGATTCTCAGTGGACAAAACTAGCTCCAGCAAAGACCTTCTTGTGGGTGCTGTTAAGTTCATTTTGGCACCCATGTTCGAATACACAGAGAAAGTGTATTCTGTTCTCGAAGGATAGAAAATCCTTGTCAGAATACACAGGGGAATCTGCTCACCCAGCTGCAAACTAGGCACCCTTGCATCTTTTGACCTCTCTAGAACTTGCTCCAGAACATTTTTTGTTGAATGGAATTTGACTGAGTTCTTTTTTTGTTTTTGTTTTTGTGTTCTTGGATGTAACGTTTCTTCGCCTGCATGGTTGTGTCACAGGCAATGATCATCATTGAATGGGAAGGAAGTATAACATCCGAAAAGACATGGAGCAAAATGTTGAGCATTATGTGCACGATTTCCGGTGCCCAGTTTCTCCAAGGTTCGTGTTGCATTATTTATTCTTTCAGGGTGGTTGGCACTGGTTGCAAGTATATTTTGGATGGTATATGTACATGCCTGGGGCTTGTGCTGTCTTTCTTTCTCTGGAGTTCATGGTGTGCCCCTCCCCCAACCAACTCCCTTTTTCCTGAGTATGGGGGGGGGGGAGAGAGAGAGAGAGAGAGAGAGAGAGAGAGAGAGAGAGAGAGAGAGAGAGAGAGAGAGGCAGGCAGGCAGGAAGGCAGGCAGACAGACAGACAGACAGAGCAGCAGACCGACAGGCAGACAGACAGATCTGGGCTTTCACATTATTCGGTTCTGTGCACTCGGTGATTATGTGATGAGCTGGGACAGACATACAGACTGACAGGCAGACAGTCAAACAGCTGGGATTTCACACTAATCACACTCTGAGCTTTGATACTTTGTAATTGGTGATCACGTCAGGAGCTGGGATCGATCATGGACTGATACTTCCGACCGCAATGGGCACAAGCAGTTCGGTGCTGCGAACCCATCTTAAACTAGCACTGATCTTCTGAGCCCATAAATCTTGGTATGACGGGAGGGGGAGCTGCAAGCCTGCGTGGCCACCAATTTCCGAAAAAGGCGGAAGGTGGGCATATGTTTCCACTGTTTTCAAGCTTCGAGTTAGGTCGAGAACCTCTCCTGCAGCATATGAAGTAACCTGGTGATAAGGCATTCCAAGCTCGTGGCATCGTTAATACGCTGTAGCTGCTGGCGTTAATATGATATGTTAAACCACCAGTAAGTTTCCCAGCCATTTCTTCAGCGATGTGGCATGCATGCTGCCGCGGCTCTTGGGAAGTACTGGGGCGTCGTTTCGCCAGTCATCAATCTAGGCAAAACAGGCCCCGAATGAGACCCATTGCCTAGATGGATGTGCCGTGAAATGGCACCCCGATACTTCCCAGAGTTGTGGCAGCATGCACGCTGGGACTCTGAAAAAGTGCCTAGGAAACATACTGGTGGCTTAATAGGAAATATTCAGAAAGTTCTTTATGGGGATGGTGTGGTGCATGGAGCAGGCAGTTGACCGGAGGTGGTTGTTTGTGCTTGGACTAATGAAGCTGATGGTTATGAAGGCCATAGGTCGCTGATGGATATGTCTTTTACACTGATATGCTCATATTGGCAGTAGCAGGACGTGTTTTTAAGAATTGAGCTGTTGTTTTGCTTTTGTTCATGTCATTTCACTACTTTACATCTGGCAAGGTTTAGACAACCGAACAGATAGAGGACTTGTTGCTTCATCTGTGAACAGGGGGGGGTATTAATGAGGAAATTTGCATCAGTTGTTTTGTCCACCTGCACAGCGGCATTGTTCGTTAACGACCTCTGCATGTTCCTTTTGCAGCTTTATGGCCACTCATCGGGGGAAGCTATCTGCAGCATCTCGCATGCTGTGTATGTGTCTTCTCATGATCTTCGGATGTTTTTGCAGGCAGTGATGGCATTTTCTCCTTTTTTTAGGCAGCCTGGCAGGCAGGCAGGCAGGCACTGATGGCTTGAGACAACCTGTTTCGGAAATGTGTTTTTGTTTTTGTTAACTTGTTGGCAGTCTTGGTGGACACGTTCATGCTCATTGGCGCTTACGGAAGTCTGAAAGTATCTCATGTGGTTCGGTTGTTCTGCAAGTTCTTTGTCAATCTGGCCTGGTTCTTGGCGCTGACAGGAGCGTATTAGTGAGTACCGTGATTACCGATTACCAATCCATTCCTCCCAAATGGCGTTTCTCATCAGGTTCAGTTCCCATGCTGCTATGAAGCATCACACTGTGTATTGTTATGAAACTAATCGTCCTGCTGCGTGAGGATTAGCATTCATGTCCTGTTTATCAGCAGTTACATTTGTGTACCTTTCTGCCCCATGGGCTGTATTGCTGGATGATTTCAGTGTGTGTTTGGGGGCACGGTTTAGCATTATGTGATTTCAGTATACATTCATGGAAAATGCAATCCAGATGGATATCATCTTATGGACTGCTCCACAGCCACAAGGAAACAAGATTCAAAGGAAGAGTGGAATGAACGTGCTCTCAGCACATCCCTTTCAATGAGCAGTGCTATCTAACAGATTCTCCTTCTCTCCATAATTAAAAGTTGATGTTCAGGTTGAACTTTCACTGGTGAAGGAGAAGGTCAGTAGTGCTGTTGAAGTCTTTCATCATCCGCTGGCATCCCAGGCCTGAAGAAGTGCCAGATAGATCAGGTGTTTTGTAGTACCAAACCACTTTTTCACTCCTCTTCGGAGACTGACATAGACAAATAACGGTGCCCCTGGAGCAAGCAGGTTTAAAAATGGACATGGAGAAGTCTGTACTCCATTGCCAACAGTTTGTGAAGGAGTCGTGTTGGAGTTTGGGAGATGTTGTGCATGCATGTGAGAGCAGCTGTCGGATACCGTAAAGGTGCAGACCAGAACAAGAACCGACCTCTCTCACATAGTACAAGATAGCGCAGCGGAAGGCTTAAATACCGATGATCCGAACAATCAATGTTGCAATGCAGACCAGACATACATCATCATCATGCCATGGTGTGAAGGGCCTGGCGCTCACACAGGAAGAATGCGCCAGTCCCCAACCATACACAGACGAAGAAGAGGGGAAGATGGGAATGTCGTCAACACCAAGTCGTTGGTACAGGTCCCAAATAATCCCTCGTCAAATGTCTGAATCCCAATGTCGAGTATGGATCCAAATGTCGTCAAGTCCCAAAGTCACCAATCTCTCTCTCTCTCTCGTAGCCGTCCAGGAGGCTGCTCTTGCCAATGCCAAAACGTGCCAGACCGTGGTGTTGAAGTTCAAACAAGGGTTGTCTGTTGAAGTTCAAACAAGGGTTGTCTCGAAAACAGGCCAAAAATGGCCTGTGCTAAATCCCTGGTCTGGTGCCTAAGTTTCAGGGTAGGTCGACCTTATGAGGGCCTAAAAATGGCCCTCCGTTTCAGGCTGAAAAGACTCAGGGCCTGGAGGGCCCTGTTTTATGCTGAAACGACATAGGGCCTGTAGGCCCTCGTTTTCAGGCTTTTAGGCTGAAAACGGCACAGGGCCTGTAGGCCCTTGTTTTCAGGCTTTTAGGCTGAAAACGACACAGGGCCTGTAGGCCCTTGTTTTCAGGCTTTTAGGCTGAAAACGACACAGGGCCTGTAGGCCCTTGTTTTCAGGCTTTTAGGCTGAGAACACAAATTGAACAGAAACAAGATGTCAATGAGAGCGTGCCCTCGCCACCACCAACATATGTATCCAGTCTCTATCTCCCTGCGAGATGACAATATTCAGATTGCAAAATCACATTGAAAGCCAAATCGTATCACAGTGTTCAGAAAGCAGCATTGCACCAATATAACACCAATGGAGAATTGGTAGAACTGGAAGTCAATGTCAATGAGAGCGTGCTCTTGCCACCACCAACATATGTATCCAGTCTCTATCTCCCTACTTGGCGCTCGGCGACCAGCCTACTCCCTACACAGCTACTTCTAGCCTACTAATTGACAATGCAACTGTTGACGTCAGCAGCCCCCGAAGTACTTGAAGATGTCGCCCATGCAGACCATCGCCAATACCAGGTATGTGCCCTCACATCATCATCATCATCATCCTTGTCTCGCTCTCCCTTGTCTCTCTCCCATGTCTTCCCTTTGTACACCCGAAGACCACCCCTGCGCCTCGCTGTACATCCAAGCCCGCCAGCTATGGAGGCTGGGCTATGGCGCTGCCCTCGGTAGTGCCCTGCTCTCTGCACGACCGCTTGCCCCTTGCCGCTCACTGCTAGCAGCAGCCCACGAGCTTCAGCTCCAGCAGCTCTGCCGCCAGCATGCGAGTGCCCGAATGAGCTGCCAGCCAGCGAGCTCTTTCCTATATGGAAAAGAGCTGGCCTGGCTTCGCAGCCTGGCTGCCCTGAGCCGGGGCCCAGAACCTTCCGGTAGGCCCCAAGGCCAGCATGCGAGTGCCCGAATGAGCTGCCAGCAGCTCTTTCCTATATGGAAAGGAGCTGGCCTGGCTTCGCAGCCTGGCTGCCCTGAGCCGGGGCCCAGAACCTTCCGGTAGGCCCCAAGGTGCTGCGCCTCTGGTGCAGCTACTGGGCCTCATTTGGTTGGGCCTCCCAACTGTCTGTGTATGAGGCTGCAAATCTTGCCCAGGGCCTGTGCTTTCGGAAAGGCCTAGAAGGCCTGGGAATTTCCACGCTGCTCGGCCTGTGTTTTCCTTCAACCAACTGGCGCGACGAAACTGCCTGTACCCCAAATACGAAATTGACAGCCAAGGGCCCCTCGTGATTTGTTAGGCCCGCCTTCACTTAGGGCGGGCACATTTGTAGCAGGAGCCCCTTAGGCCTGCTGAGGACCCAGATCCTTGCATCAAATGCTCTCGTTGTCTGCAATAGGACAAAGACTGCTTTGATTCTGAATCTATTCACCTGGGTGGAATTGGGGCTGTTGTGGGGAAAATCTAAAACACACAGAAAAAAAAAAAAAAAGATACACCCCTAAGACCCTACTGGGCGACCCCAGAGCTTTGACTCGGCCAAAGCAAGGACCCAAAGACTTGGTGCCTTGGAAGCACTTAAGGAGGAATCTCCTAAAAGGGTTGACGAATGTATGTGGTGAAATGAAGATTTATATTTGATCAAACAGATAAGTTAGTTGCAAGCAATTCATGTTCTCTGGAATTCTTGGTTGCCCATGCTTACCTCCTGGCGATAGGGAATGCTAACATGCATTCTTTGCTTGGTGTACTTCGATGCAGCCTCCGTATGAATCCAGGGAACTCGCCTTCAGGATTGCAAAGGGTGCTGATCATCCTGCTAACCGTTGTGTATTTGGGATTGACTGCTGTGGGAGCTACGCTGTTTCGGATTCCGCTGTTCCGCAACTTCATTGACCGTGAGGGATGCACACGGTTCTTTCTCATTAGAATATTCAAATGGTGGTATCAGGTATATTTGATATTCTGCTTTTCTCATCAAAACTACTGCGAACATGATTTCTTTACCTATACCCTTGTGCGTCACCGGTGGGAATGTGAAGGGACTTACTCTTGGCCGCTCAAACATGAAATGGGGCTCGAGTGAATGTTTGTTGGCCCTAACGTCATCATGTTGAGATGATCCCAGGTGAAGACAAGGGAAAACAGAAGTGAATATAAGTGAAAGCAATTTCATTTTGAATTCAAAGAACAGGAGATGTGTTTGCATGTCCTGTGTGTGCAGCCCAAGCAAGCTAGCTCAGTTTGTTGAGCACGCAAGTGGTATTCAGGAGGTCGTGGGTTCGATTCCCCACGTCGTCCATTTGATCCCCCAGGGCTAACCCGCAGAGATATTTGGCTTGGGCCTCCTGGCTGGTTGTGGAAATAGGTTGGGCTTTTCAGCTTATGCCAGATGCTAGGAGCCGGGGTACTGCTCGCCGCATAGAGCAGAATAGGCTGGGAAGCCTGGAAAACTCTTTAAAGTTTAAACCCATAATCGTGAGCATCCCCTGGAAAAACTGAACATATATGAAGGTAGGTAGGTAGAGTGAAGTATACGAGTGAAGAATATAGATTAGTTTTCAACTCTTTATAATAATAATCAGGGTTGCATCCCTGCTGACCGCCGACCCCGACCGCCAACCGTGTTGCAGCCGACCATAGGGCCGACCAGTCGGCGGTCTGCGGACCAGTCAGGGGAAAAGGAAAAAAAAAACAACCATCCACTGATGTTTTTCAAATCTGAGTTGGGGCCTGTACTGCGCTTGCTGAGTACGGCCCAAATCTGCTGAGAAACTTTTGGGGATAGGGGGGGGCATGGGGGCGTTGGGGTTGGGCATGGGGGCGTTGGGGTTGAAGTATAGGGGGGGTATAGGGGGTGTTGGGGATGGTAATGAGGGTGTTGGGGCCGGTTTGGGGGTGTTGGGGGGGTGTATGGGGTTATTGAGGGCCGCTATGGGATGTTGGTGGTGTTATAAGGGTTCTGGACCTGACGACCCCCGACCTGTAGGTGCGGACCAGCCGATCGGTCGGCGGTTTGGCAGCCGACCAGTCAAGGGTCGCCGAGCGTCAGGGGGTGCAACCCTGATAATAATAAAAAAGGAAGTGTGTGCACGTGCCTCCTGTTGATAAGCAGACGTGAGTTTGAATCCTGATGGAGGAAAATAGCTCTGACTTCCAGGGGGCCTGTCAATCCGATGATGATGTCACAAGGCATGTGTGCACACTGCCTCACTGAGTTTGAGTGCATGGATGCTGAGTGTGCTTATTAGTGTTGCAACGGTTTGGCTGGTGGTCGAAGCTGGTTGCAGTCGTTTTTGGAGTGGGATGTAGGTTGCATGATGCACAGTGTTGATGTCACCTACACAGAATCTTGGCTGGCTTTTGTGGTTCAAGAATGGTGCTGATGCAACGGTGTGCTCGACGTGCATGGAAAAACGAAGTCTAAAAAGCGAAAGGAAGGGACACGGTGGGCCTTGTAATGGTTAGTTGTACTGTGGCAATTGCTTTTCTGGGGACGATGTCCTCGGGGGTGGGAGCTGGGAGGGACGAAAGGGGAGGCGGCAAAGGGAACCAATCAGACTACTCCATTCCTAAGTGCGGTTTGCATAACCACAAGGGTGTACAGGCTTTGGCCTGACTCTGGTGAGCAAAGGTTCAGTGCCCCTTGTAGCACAAGGGTTCATGTGCCTGCTGGAAAGTGGAAAGGAAAAACGACAGAAAAATTGACAAACTTGGTCTTGGGGAATGTGAAGGCCGCTATCTGATGGGCCGATTCTGGGTTCCTTCAGAAGCCCGATGGTGTGACTCTGGTTCTTTCAGAACAGAATCAGTAGGCTATTTGAGAACTATTGGGGGGACAATGCCCTTGCGGGTGGGATCTGGGAGGGATGGAAGTGGAGGCGGTAAGAGCTAAGTCATATGCCATTCCTAACTGCGGTTTGATCCAGGGCTTTTTTTCACGAGCATCATATTCCTGAGCATAACTGGTATCAACAGGATCCAGAGTCTTTACAGTATACAATATGAAAGCGATCATCATCCAAGTTTAAACGCCTTGCAGGGTGGAAAGTAAACTTAGGAGAGCAGGTCGGAGAGCGGCAGGGTGGGGTAACCCTCCTGTTGGATTCTCTTAGAGAAGCATCTGCATGATATTGCGAGCTCAGCTGATGGCTTGTTGTGCAACATCTGATGCATGGAAGTTCACCAGCTGCCATGATAAGCCAGCTTCTTCATCAGATCACTGTAGGGCCACCTTGAGAGTAAAAGAACAACCACAAATTTTAGATGTTGAGAAATATAATGAACAGCCCAGAAGGGAGATGGTATGAGCATTCCTTTGTTTTTTTCATTTTTGAAGCCTAAATGGGGCTAATAATAAAGGAACCCAGGGCAAGGTCAAACAGAAGAGTCCCGCTCCAAGGTTTTGTGCGTGTCACCATTTTGGATGATTTATTATGTGTATATTTTTTAACCCACGGCCCCATCTATTCTGGGGGTCGCCAGTCCGGTTGCTTATCACCGGCAAGGATAGGTCCATCCACAAACAGTGAGAGAGCATGTCACCATTTTGGATGATTGCTTCAACGGTTTTTCAACTTTTTCTGTCTTGCACATGGTGGACCGCTGTTTGGGCATTTGATGGGGAGGTTGACTTGGAAGTGAATTTTGCATGGCTCGTTCACATCTGCTGCGCAGGCTCGTCTTTATGTTGGTCGAGGCATGTATGAGACTACGTTTGCATATATCAAGTGAGTACATTTCGCTGTTTCCCTTCATTTTGGCAGCATCAAGTTCTCTAGTATTGTGTACTATGTTCCTGAATTTCTGAATCCGGGAGTCAGTGAGCAGTGCTGAGCTAGAAGTGAATGATGTATCTTGTTTGACCTCTGGAAACCCAAACCAGCTCCTGTATCTTTTCTGTCCACTTGTTCCTGTGTACTGTGGTGGTGAAGAAGCATGTCACGTGACAAATTTTCTCTGATTCCACTCAGGTGTGAAGGAAGCACCTGCCTTCACTTCGACTGCGCTTGTGTCCTAGGTGACTCTGGCAAGCCTAAATCCAGCCAAAGCCGGCGTCATCTGTCGTTCCCCCAGCGCCTTCGTGGGAGCCACGATCTGGGCTGTTTCCCTTTCGACTTTGGATCTTAGCACCCAAAGTCTGTCTGCACGATTGTCAGTTGCAAACATTCAGAGTTTGATTTCCATGGGGTTGGTCAAGAAGTCCAACCTGACAGTTGCCTGGGAGTGCCTTTTCCGCTCACTGATTTTTGCCAATCCTCACGGCAGGTACTATGGCTCCTCTGACTTCCAGCAAAAAAATCATTCGACTGGATCTTGCCGGTATCACCTATGAGCAATCCATAGCAATATTTGACATCGTTCGCTAAATTCTGTTAGACCTGTGCGACCAACCTTCCACCCAGCGTCTGATCCAATTGAAAAGACACAAGTGACATAACGTACACTGCTTTCATCAGCAGGGAACGTGGCCCAATGCAAGCATGCTTTCAATCCTTGGTCTCAGAGGAACGACTGTGGCATCGACACTGTGGTACAGTTGTTTTGGCTGGTAACTGTTTTCGGTGAACTCTATCTATCCATAGGCTATAGAAGAGGGAACCGCTAGCTAGCCATAAACCTGAAGTATGCAAAACCATTGCCTGTTCCGAATTTATGGTCAGCTGGATTTTCAGATGTTAATGTTTTGCATTTACGAATCCACTGTGCTGACTCACATGCATTGTGCTGGATGGGAGTGAACAAAACATGAACTGTGAGACTGGAGTTCAGGTATTCTGAGAGGTGGCGAAGTTGTGAAGAGAAAGGTAAGTGAAACAAGGTGTTGAAGTTGAAAATTCTAGAAACGGAATCGAGAGCAGCGAAAGCAGGAGGAAATGGAGACTGCTGGGAAAACAAAGTTTCCTTCCTAGAGGAAGCAATCAATGCTTAGCATTGCCCGGGCCGCAATGAGGGGAAGCGTTTAAGAGTCAGGTAATTTGGAAGAGGAACTGAACTAGCGCTCCCCAGAATAGAAGGTGCTACGCCCAACAGCAGGGCCTGTTCTTAAAAAAAAAGAGAAAAAGAAGTTCCAGTTGCGGGGTGTACAGCAACGAAGAGGGTTCCCAGCGAAGGAAAAGGGGAGAGAATACAAAGGGTCATGAAAAATGCTCAGCGTGCAGGATTACAACTTTTTCCTGTGCAAGGAAACTTGACTGTAAAGAGGGGCCCGTGCCATGTCGTGGAGGTGGTACTCCATTGCTTGTGATGACGCAGAGGGCGTGTGATGGTAACGTGTGTGTTGTGCGATCTTTTCCTCATGGATCATCTTGCATGATGTAGGGTGACTGGATAGCAATCCAGCTATGCTGTATTGCTTTTCAATGCTCCGCTGTTCTGTTGCAAGTGGAGTTGCATTGGGAAGCTTTATTGAGATCTTCAGGTGGCAGCTAGGATACGGGAAGGTCGGGGAGGGAGAGTAAAGAGTAGTAATCTCGGATCCGCTGACTGCACTCTGCTGGTGATTATCTCTGCAGGTATTCCCTTTTCTGGATCGTCCTGCTGATTCTGAAGATCGGTGTGAGTTACCAATATCAGGTAAGTCTGTCAGCGGTTGTAAGGTCAAGCTGTTGTGTAATAGACCGCTATGGAAATGCATGGACTCACAGGAGAGTGCTGCAAAGTGTTTTAAGTGACTACTGGACTCATGGGTATCTTTTTGAGGTGTTTCTAGTACTTTCTACCATTTGTAAAGGTTTTCTATATGCCTACCATTTTCAGCAATTGTTGGATGCTTCTGAAAGATGTGGTTTTGGTTGGATGCCACTCACCATTTGCTCATTCACGGGATGCCCAACTCACCTTTGAGTTATGGTCCTGACGGTGTTGTTCAGCTTTGCTCCATGGGCCTGGCCATTGCAAAGTTGAACTGGCGCCCAGTGGTGGTATTTGGAAAAGATGCCGAGCCCAACTCATGCGATGGATATTCGGAAAATTTGACAGCCGTCAGGAGCAGGGTTACCAACCTTCACGTTCAGCGGAACTTGTCGGGCTGAACATCCTAATGTCCAGTACCTGGCAAACCGTTAAGCAGAATGCCGAACTTTTTGGCTTGTCCTTTTCTTTTTTTTCTTTAATAAGTTTGTTTTTCCTGTTCTGCGGGAGCTTTGGTCTACCCACCCATGTTTAAATAAAAAAAATAAAATTGTTTGAGGGTGGGGGGCATTACCAGCCAAATGCTCGCCAGCCCCCCCTTCCCCCCCCCCCAATCCCCCCATGATATGTGTGTGTGTGTGTGTGTGTGTGTGTGTGTGTGTGTGTGTGTTGTCATCTTCTCTACACACAACTCCACGAAAGAAGCATGACTGTGCCAGACTCCTTCGTCGAACTTTCACCGACTCATCAGGATGTTGCACCCGGGTTGTCTGCGCAGGATGCATTCGACTGATGGATAAGTACTTACCGTGATGCCCAGAGTTAGCGATACCCCTGAGGAAAGTGGTCAACTTTACCTGCAATCCCAGCATTCTGCTGGTCTAAACCCCCGACAAGAATGGCAGTAAGTCTGGGAAAGTAGTCATCTGTCTATGTGTGTGTGTGTGTGCGTGTGTGAGCGTGTGTGTGTTTTGGTGTTCGTGCAACTCCACCAAAAAAGGATGACTGTGTGGCACTGTTTCACCGCACTTTCACCCACTCATCAGGGGTTGTGTCTGTATTGATTCGTTGATTGAATTTTTAAATTTGCAGTGAACTGAATTCAACTAATCTATATTCTTCTCGTGGTTCATATTTCACTACCTACCTATCTATCAATCAATCAACCAATCGCTACTACTGTATAGCCCCATGAGTAGTGATTGATTGGTTGGTTGATTGCCAGAAGAAAAAGGTTGGCAATGCTAGGAAAAGGACCTTGGCAATGCTAGGAAAAGGACCAACCTGCCCTGAGTGAGGGCGGCCCTGCAAAATGAACCCCAGCGTGAGTATAGGCCTATATGAGCAGAACTGGGGCCCCCCGGGTGGTTGCAGAGCGTCCATTATTTAGGCAGCATCTCCAACTAACCGGTAGGCCCAGTTGGTTGAAGATGCTGTGCGCGCTTGGCCTGGGTGCAGTTTCCAGAAGGGGCCAAGGGCACAGGCAACTGGGACTGGGTGCAGCCAGGCCAGATGCTGCTCGGCCTCTCCAGCCAGCACAAAGTGCTGGAGGGTACAGCCTCCCGGAGATGCGGACATTGTTCCAATGCGGCAGTACTGCTGGAGCAGTAGCTCAGTGCTGTACCCGAGGAGGAAGCTGCTACGGTGGGAGGAGGAGGAAGAGGGAGAGCGCCAGCCATAGCCATTGCGATCTCGCTGCGCACTCTGCTTCCAGTTTGGGCTCGATGATATCTGGTCTTCTGTGAGATCTTGCAATATGTATCGTTTAGTGCTGTTCACATTGCTTATTTCTTTGCAGGAAACAAGATACAGAGAAAATAAAATAGAGCGTTATCTTTTTACTAGTTCTTAGATTCTTGAGTTTGATTATTTTTTTATATATATATTTCTTGTTTAGGCAAACGACGTTCAAATTTTGTGTTGGGGTACGTTATGCATCAAAGAGTTGTCATTAAAAAAAATTAAAAAATTGAAAAAGATACGGACCCCCAACTGACTAATGGCGGGGCCGAACCGACTGCAGTTTGGCTCCCCAGCACTCCACCAAGGAGCTGAATGGACGATCGGCTCGGTAACACTGGTCAGGAGTGCCTTTGGCAGAGACCCAATCTTTTATGGGTATCAAATGAATACTGCATTCTCCGGGGGCATCTAGCAAGTTTTTCCTCTTTTTCATCATTTGTCAGGTACTTTGCAGTTGTTTGGAGCTTTGTGTACGATGTGGGCCATGCAGCATGGGTGGTGGGTACACAGTGCTACACACCCTTGCACTTTGCAGATCGCTTGTGGAGCTCTCTCGGTGGCAGAGCAGGCACGTGTGTTGGCAATGGACAACAACAGGGTGGAAGTGCATGCCCTGGACAACTGATTCAAGCACCACCTAGAGTGAATTAAACAACCGCCATGGGTGATAGGACCACAATAAATGGCCTCCTAGTCAGGAGGTTATTACGCCAAAATGGAAAGGGATACCGAACTGAAGGTTCTCAGGAAAAGAACATCAAAGGTGACAAGAACATGTAGATCCCAACTCACACAAACAGTTCCCATGATTTTACTTGAGCCCATGGAAAGAACAGATGCCCCAAATGACACCATATCCAAGCAACCACGGATTGAAAGAAAGGTGAAGAACTGCCGCCCCCCAGTATGCAAGCAAGGGTTGGCTCTTGGCCGCCCAATCTGTGAGCATGGTAGATCATGCAGGACTGTCATGTGCGTTTTGCGAAATAACCACCAAACATCAACCCAAATCAATCCGAAAACCAGAAGAAAATTCATGCAGCGAGTGCTGGATTCCCCGGTCATGTGGGGCTGTGTGTGTCTGTACATCCATGTTTCCATGCTGCAAACAAGCATGTTTGTATGGTTGATATTGGTCTGGTTGCTTCCTTCCTCTGCAGTGCTGATTCTGTCCAAGTTCTACTTAGCGTAGCGTGGGATATTGGCTTGCGCTTCGCTCCTTGAAACCTGACTATTTCTGTTCTGTTGCAATCAGGTCAAACCATTGATTTCCCCCACCAAAACGATAATCTCTTTGGACTTCGATGAAGCGAAATGCGCAATAGTCTACAAATGGAAGGACGTCATTTCATGTAGTAAGTGCGGAATCCTTGTGCGTCTGGTGGAAAATTCGGTACAACTCAGGGGAGGCAAGCCATGAAAGGGAGAGGGGGATGGGGTGGGGGAATGAGAAGAGGGAAATTTTCTTATGCATCTAATATCCAGTGTGTACTAGCCGCACCATCCCTTTCGTTGAAACTTCCGCTGAATGTGCAGACAGGTTACCCCCAACATGCTATAAGCTCCAGATTCTTGATTCTTGATGAGCTGGTTGAAACTGTGCGACTCGTTTTTTTATTTTCTTGCAATAAGTATGGTAGAAATCGTGGGTACACACATGAACTGATGAAAGACAGACCCGAGTTCGAATCCAGATGATGGTACATGATGAGTAAAAGTACTAAAAACTTACTAAAAACTTTTTAGTAAAACGTACTAAAAACTTTAAAAGTTTGTAAAAGTTGCTAAAAAGTAGTAAAAACCAAATATTTCTGAATTGCCTGGGGCCTGTCAGGTCAATGATGATATCTCAAGGCCGTTGCCCTTTTGAAAGAACAGAAAAAGACAAAAAAAAAATTGTACTACTGACGAGATGGTACATGATGAGTAAAAAGTACTAAAAACTTTAAACGTTAGTAAAAGTTGCTAAAAAGTAGTAAAAACCAAATATTTCTGAATTGCGTGGGGCCTGTCAGGTCAATGATGATATCTCAAGGGCGTTGCCCTTTTGAAAGAACAAAAAAGAAAAAAAAAGAAAATCGTACTACTGACGAGTGGTCCCAGGCTGCCTCTGAGACTGCATGCTACGGATTCCTGATTTCTTGGTTCTTTATTGTTGATCTTTTCCTTCCTGCTGCCTTTTTTTTTTTTTTTAAACAAGCAGTCGTGTAATTGGAGTGTAAACTTTCTCAATTGCATGGAAATGTATTGTTACGTTACCTAGGCTATCAGAGTGGCCTGGGACCACTTGCCCAGACAGGCCCAAAAAATAAGTAAAAATGAAAAAAAAATAAATCTTATGTCGTTGTTTATTTTAAATTTGGTAAAAACTTCGATGTGACCCTGAGGCAAAAGTTGTTCAGTTTATTTTCTGCATAACATAGTTTTTTTTTCGAAATTTTTAGATGCATTTTTTGTTTTTTTGTTTTGTTGGGACCTTCTCCGGACCTTCCCTAGTCCTTCTCAGCGGCCTATCTCAATTGGTTGAGCACATAAGTGGTGCACAGGAGGTCATGGGTTCGATTCCCCACAACATCCATTTTGCAAGGAAAATGAGCAATAGCGAGATGACAATGTCCAGAATGCACAATCACATTTGAAGGCCAGATAGTATCACAGTGTTCAGAAAGCAGAAATGCACCAATATAACACCAATGAAGAATTATAACACTGAAAACCAATGTCAATGAGAGCTTGCTCTCGCCACCACCAACATGAGTGTCCAGGCCCTATCTCCCTACTTGGCGCTCGGTGCCCAACCTACTTCCTACACAGCTACAGTCTGCCTACTAATTGACAATGCAACTGTTGACGTCAGCAGCCCATGAAGTACTTGAAGATGTCGACCAATGCAGACCATCGCCAATACCAGGTATGTGCCCTCACATCATCATCATCATCTTCATCCTTCTCTCTCACCCCTGGCTTACTCGCACGTCTTCCCTCTGTACACCCGAAGTCCACCCCTGCACCTCACTGTAGTCCAAGCCCAACCAGCTATGGAGGCTGGGCTATGGCGCTGCCCTCAGCAGCGCCCTGCTTGCTGCACGACCGCGCGCGCTGGCACCTTGCCTCTCAGCGCCAGCAGCAGCCCACGAGCGTTCACTCCAGCAGTGCTGCCGCCAGCATGCAAGTGCTGAATGCCACTCCAGCAGCGAGCTCTTTCCTATATGGAAAGAGCCTGCCTGCCTTCGCAGTCTGGCTGGCCTGGGCCTTGGCCCAGAAGCTTCTGGTAGGCCCCAGGATGCTCCGCCTCTGTTGCAGCTTCTGGGCCTCATTCAGTTGGGCCTCCCAACTGTCTGTGTATGAGGTTGCGATTCTCGCCCAGGCCCTGCTTTTTTGGAAAGTCCCAGAAGGCCGTGGAATGTTTTTGTTGCTCGGCCTGTGTTTCGCTCGACCAACTGGCGCATCACAACGGCCTGGACCCCAAATGCGAAGTTGGCAGCATGAGGGCCTCTCGTGATTTGTTAGGCCTGCCTTCACTTAGGGCGGTCACAGTTGCAACTGGGCCCCTTAGGCCTGCCGAGGACCCAGATCCTTATTCCCTGCGACCCCCTGTGTGGTATGCTTCGGGTTCTCCAACCAAGAAAGTCGGCTTGTGCCTCTGGCTAGTTGTGGAATTATGTGCATCTGCTTTCCAGCTCATGCCAGCTGTTAGGAGCCTGGGTACTGTTCCCCGCATAGAACAGGCTGTGGGTTATGCTGAGGCAAAAAATCTGGAGGCCGAGAATCCAACCCGTAACCGCACCATCCCTGCGAAGCTTGTAGTATATAGGTAGGTACTAGGTAGTGAGAGGCATATTGAGAGAAGAATATAGGTTAGTTAAAAAAAAAGAAAAAAGACAAAAAGAAAAAAAAGGAAGAAAGAAAGAAAAAGGGTGCCACAGATAAAATGAAAGGAATTAAAAATAATGCAAATGCTTAAGTTTGAAGCTCGTTGGCCTTCTCTTACCCATAGACCTTGTCGATGGGTTTACAGTCTTTGAAAGGTTGGCCCGTTGTCAACACTGAAGTGTACATGGGGGTTGCCATCCGTGCCTGGGATGGACTTGTGTTTCATTTGTCCTACTACCTTCTGAAACACAACTCCTGGCTGAATCAGTGAAAACTGGAATGACTGGCTTGTGCATCCCAAGGGTAATCGAAAACAGCTGCATTGACATGGGTCTTAATTTTGGCAGGGCGCGATCATGTGGGAACATTGCTTGCTCTCTGGGCACCTGTTGTTATGGTAAGCTTTTCTTCAGGCTTGTGTGTCCCGACTGTATGCTTATGCCGAGTGCTTGAGGGAAGCTTTGCCTTGTGGATCTCCGATGTTTGTAGGGTCTGAGATAGTTGTATCTGCGAGCTAAATTTTGGCTACTCTCTCTCTCTCTCTCTCTCTCTCTCTCTCTCTCTCTCTCTCTCTCTCTCTCTCTCTGTGCGTTTGTTTGCTTCTATCTCCCTCCTTACTGTGGTTTGTTGTGCTGTTGCTCTCTCTCTCTCTCTCTGTTTCTTAATTGCCTGAACGGAGTACAAGCATGTCTACCAATTCCATCATATCCTTATGGGTATAGCAGGATTTGAACCTGGGACCACTAGGTTAAAAGCCCAATGCTCTGCCAACAATACTATACACCCAGAATCCAGCGAGGATTAGTGGGATTTGAACCTACAACATCACCGTTATGAGCAGTGCGTTGGAACTTGGAACCAATTAAACTATAAGCCGAGGAACTTGCGGGGGCACCATTAGCACTGGTGAGGGCGAGTTGAAAAAAAAAAAAAAAAAAAAAAAAAAAAGCTGAGGAACTTGCTTCAGAGGTAGTTTTGGTGCCTACTGCCGACACCTACTGTAGGCGGTAGGCGTGCCTACCAGTCGGGCTGACCCGGAGGCGGTCGGCAGACTGCCTTCCAATTTCATTTTTTTTGTGGGATTACATGGTCGTGCGCGGCTTGAGGAGAGCAGCCCAAATCCGTATTAATTTTTTTTAGGGGTGGTGGGGGTTATAGGCAGAGGTAGAGGGGGTTATAGGGAGTCGTAGGGGGGGTATGAGGGTGTTAGGGGTCGGTATGGGGGTGTTGGTGTTGGGGTGGCTATCGGGGTGTGGATGGGGTTATTTGGGGTTGTGGACCCTTTTTTTTTTATGGTTTGCCTATGGGTTACCGACCGGTCGGCGCCTACCGTTGGCTGGTCAGCAGCCGACGGGTCCGGGGCTGCCGATCGACGGTGTGAGTACCCGGCTTCAGAAACAATAAAACTAACTCAAGGGTGGTACCGTAAGGCCAGGATTCCCTGGCCGTTTTTTACGGGTACATTATTTCACGAAACATGAATAGAGTTCCATTGCAATGCTCGAAGAGTCAAGCCTAGATGGTCGTAACAGGTGTTCATTGAACGGTGCGAGATGGTCGCCCATCAATCGGCTCTCTCTCTCTCTATTTTCTACTGCTCTCTCTCTCTCTCTATTTTCTACTGCTCTCTCTCTCTCTCTATTTTCTACTGCTCTCTCTCTCTCTCTCTCTCTCTCTCTCTCTCTCTCTCTCTGTCTCTTATTGCGCTCTGTTGCTCTCTCTCTCCCCCTCTGTCTGTCTGTCTGTCTGTCTGTCTGTCTGTCTGTCTGTCTGTCTCTCTCTCCGTCTGTCTCTCTGCCTATCTGCCTGTCTGCATGTCTACCCATCTGTCTGTCTGTCTCTCTCTCTCTCTCTCTCTCCGTCTGTCTGTCTGTCGGTCTGCATGTCTACCCATCTGTCTGTCTCTCTTTT